CGCTCTTCCTTAAAACCCCTCAGAAATACAGAATTAGACCTCAGCAATAACAGATCCTGTTGAGCTGTGGGGATTTTCACTGTAGGGTTCCTGATTTTACCAGATCTGAACATTTTATGTTGTTCTCACAAATTCAGTGCTTCCCTCAGCATTTTTAAGGTGCTCTGGAGAGCAGAGTGGTGAAACGGTCATGGCCCTGTCTGTTTTCACCTGTTGTCTGTGGTGTACCAGTTGTGTGTGCACAGAGCCCATAGAGCACCAAGTTATTAAGCTCATGAGGAAGGAGCAAGGACTTTTAGTTGACTGGATGGCAGTCTGTGTTTCATCGCTGAATGCCAGCTACACACAACTGAGCATCCCAAGTTCCTAGCCTTCTCATTTCAGAAAAGAAATAAGAAATTTATTTATTACAAGGAAGGGGATTAGCTTGTCAAACTCTGGGGGTGCTGCTGCTCTGCAGAAAGAAGGAAACAAAGATCTCCTTTTAAAAGTTACAGCTAACAGGAAAAACATCTTGGCAGGAACAGTGCAAGGAGCTGAACAGTATGTTTGAGGGAGCAGAAGGAGAGAACAGCATATATCGAAAGGGAAGATGGCATCAAGAGCAGATGCAGAAGTGCATGATTTTTTTTCTGAAGGACAAAACTCTGAAATCTAAACAAACCAAAACCTTGGTTATAGCGCTACTTTCCGGTATGATGAATTGCTTTTATTGCTTCAAGTAGATTGTCTGCTCATAGAAACATCACAGAGATCATTAGTGATGTTCACAAGCCAGTAAGTGTGACGTGGAGTTCACTCCATGAATAATGTATAGAGTCCTTGTTAAAGGTAAAGGAGCGTAAAGTAAAGAGTGTAGCGCTAGTCTGCTTGCAGTTTTGTTCAAAGTGTAAGATAAAATTCACTTTACTCTCTGAGAAAATATGTTTATGTCATTACGAACCAGTTTTCTTTTTTCTCTTTTTTCCACAGCTTGCCCCTTCCCTTCCATTACAAGAAGATTTTGTTTACCACTGGAAAGCAATCACCCATTACTACATAGAGACTTCAGGTAAAAGAAAAAAAAGCTTTTGTTTTGTCTCTTCATTGTGAAAACTGTAATTCCCAATTCAGTGTTGTTAAAAAAAAATAAAGACCAAAAAAACCCCTAACATAATCATAACTGAGTTATTTCTTCTATCAAGATGCCAACAATAATAGTTATTGATTAAAAAATATTGTATACCTCCAGTCACCCTCAAAAAACTGAGCATGAACAATGCTGGAAGGAAGGTCTTGTTTCCTGAGTACCATATGGAGAACGGCCTCTTTTCAAGTTGGACCCAACTTCCGTCTTCATCTATTCTGTTTAATCTAAACAGACATCTACAGAAATGTAGTCCCTGCTGTTAACCTTTTTTGTTGTTTTGCATCAAGGATTTTCTTTCTCTTTCCAAGCTTACAACAAAAGCCTTCACCAAGTAATTCTGTGGCCATACATTTGACCAGATATATCTGAACTCTGCATGCTTTTTCTTCAGTGTATTGTCTCTGCGAAATGTATTTTGAAACCATAGCTCTGAAAAATGAAATTGTGAGCAGACTTAAACCATATTTTATTAAAATTTGTCCAGACTTTATAGTGTTCTTCTTCAGTAAGTGGATATTTTGATGAATTATGACTATGGTGCCCTGTTCTTAACTTTTCCTGTGGTTTCTTACAGTAGTTATGCAACAGTTACCTTTCTAATCTTTGGTCCCAGTTTAATAGTTGTAAAAGTGAATGTTACCATGTTTTCCTCAAGCTTATTCGTTCTGCATTTCTGTTAGAGTAGCTACTGAATCTGTGTGCATGTCTGGGACTTTTGATTATTTATATCAATATTTACTCTTGCAGGCTGAAACTTGACCCTTGGTTCTAAATAGCCAGCTTTCAGAACGCTATGTGATGTTTCCTAAGGTGGAAATGACAGGGTGGTAGAGGAAAACTGATACCTGCGATTACGTGGTGCAAAATAGAAGCTGCCCTCTCTCCCAGACTTTCATAAGTCTTATGAAAAACAATTTTCCAATTTCTTTGTTGCCTCTTCCTTATAATCAATGTCATCCAAAAAAAACCTATCAGTTTAAATTTTCAGAACTGGTATTTACCTGTACCAGCCTTGAAGCAGGATATATTTCAGTCCTCTACAGTAGGAGCAGGATTATGCCCAGGAAACTCCAACAAAACACTGCAAGCTAACTGGAGGTTGTAGTAGAGACTAAAAACACTGATGTGGTTTTGTTTGGTGAACTTGTTTCTATTTGCATGGAAGTGACAGTTACTTTTACACTATTGCGTAAGAAGAAGTAACTATTTCCGTAGTGGGGTACTTGTTCAAACAGAATTTAGCCAAAGAAAATAAGAAGCAACGTTTCTGCACTTGCACAGGTGCTCTACAACACTTAAGTTAATGCCAGCTCCCACTCTCAGTGGCATAAATTCAGAGCAGTCTCATGACTTCAGTACGATGAGATCACAGTCTTACTCTTTCCTTCATAAAGTTTGACAGCACACAATCTTAAGGCAGAAAGTATAAAAGCCAAATCTAAAATCTTTTAAAGAATAAGCTGTCTAGAGTTTGGGTCTACTTTGTTGTTGTTACTGTTAGAAAAGCTATTTATTTAATTCTTTTATCTAGTTTGTAAAGGAAGTTATCAATTGCAAATTTATCTGATCTTAGAGGCAGTTTGTAGATTACAGCATACTTGTGAAGAGGCAAAGAAGAAATTGCTAAAGCAGGGTGGACACTAAACAAAGACTGGGACATGAACCTTTCTCTCCCTAAGCTTGCTTTCTGGCTACAAAAGTTTTCCTTTTTAACTGTGTGATTAATACAGGTTTTGCAAGTTTAAATATCTACCTAATGCATATTCCAGTTTACATTTTCAGAAATGATTCTGAAAACTCAGTTTAAGACATCTTTAAAAACTTGATTTTCGGGTACTCTGCAATTTGGCCAATTAAGAAAGATGTCTTGAGCTGAGCATCCAGAACCACCAGTGTCTTTTAAAAATTTGGACCGGTATATGTTCATATAGGTTTGAAAGAGATATATGTAGATGCAGATATATACATACATATAAATCGTCTGTTAGCGTCCTAGCTGCTGTCTTGTGACTTTTATATATAAGAATATTTGAATGAATGGTCATCTTTTAAAACCTTACATTTGTAACTGAATTTAAGAAAAATGACTACGATATTTTTATCATTCTTAAATGCACATCTCTTCTATTTAGATGACAAAGCTCCTGTGACCGACACCAACATTCCTTCTCACTTGGAACAAATGTTGGATATTCTAGTTCAAGAAGAAAACGAGAGGGAATCAGGTGAAACAGGGCCATGTATGGAATATTTGCTACATCACAAGATTTTGGAGACGCTCTACACACTAGGGAAAGCTGATGTATGTACCTCTCATGATGAGCTCACCCCAAAGATCATTTGTTCCAATTGTAACAGGGACTGAAACTATGCAGGAGGTGGTAGAGTGAGACACTGAACTCTAGCAGATAGCTGTCTGCTAATGTTACCAACATGTTACAAGTAACAGTTTTGTACAAGTGTAGACAAAGTGAGACAGCGTGCTAGTCAGAGCAGTAACTTGAGATTTGATACTCAGGACTGATGGTGACTGTGAAGCTAGAAGTAGGAAAACGTTTTTAATTCTGTCTAAGAGTTTGCTGCCTTCTACAAGACAGTAATATTACTCCCTGCTTTGTGAAGTGTTTAGAGATTCTTGGGTAAACATTTGTGTTAAATACAAATTTTGTTTTTAATTTTTCTGAGTGTGGTAAGTTATTGCTCAGATTTCTGAAAGATTACCATGTCAAAAAGCATTGATTTAAGCTGATCCTCCGATAGCTTTCTCATCTAGTCTTTTGTATGAATCCAGCCCAGGGCAGTCTTGTTTAGTTCTTCTCACGCCTGCTTTGTAATGCATGTGAAATAAGCTTCATGGTCTTGGTGCGTTCTTGTTGACAGCATCTTCAAGGCCCTCTTATTTGTTCTTATTGCTGTCTTTCTTGGCAGACGTATTAGCTGAAAGGTAAGGGATTGGTTGAATCATGGAGTGAATTATCTTGTCAGCCCTCGTGCTAGAACTTTTTACATCATGGTGCACGTGCAGTAAGGAAAGCATGAGGTATCTTGTTCTAAGAATAAATGGAGCTCTCCAGGGTTTCATTCTCAGCCAGCCTTTTACATGTTGTCATAAGTTTTTAATCTACTTGGTTTTACATAGGTAAACAATGTAGGATACTAGCTATCTGAGCCTGGGATGTTCCTTGCTCCGGAAGGGCCAGGCCTCTGATAGTCCTGTGACTATACCAGCTGTCCTACCATCAGGCTAAGATACCTGATACAACTGTATTGAAAATATGCACTTTCTCGGAAATACAGCTGGGTCAGTAATCTACAAACTCCGTCAAGAAATTGGGCTGAAGTGGAGGCGTATGTGAAGCGAGTAATTAGCAGTATGTTTCTAAGAGCTGAGGGAAGTCGTTTTGCACTCGAATATGCTTGTACACGCAATTTTTGTACAGCCTGTCTTTATGCTTTGCTACTTGTGAGTTGATATATCTGAAATAAACACGGGGTTCATTGCTTGCAAGATGTTGCAAAGATCTGTTGCAAAATGAATAACATCCCTTTGCAGCGATGACTTAGATGTATTACTTTCTTGTAGATGCACCCTGATGGTACGATTTTTGTCTTTTTAGCTAGTTACTTGACAACTAAGAGTGAGGCTACAGCACTAGGGATAGTTACCTTGGCAAGAGAACCAGGTTAGGCAGTTCTCGTTCCTGGCTGTTGCTCCATTCACCTGTGTCTGTTGGTAGAACTATTGGTAAGCCTGTGCAGTAAACCAGATCGGGGAATAAATGTGGGTTAAAATTAACCTATGGAATAACAGCATTTATTAGCGTGTTAGAACTGTTAGGGTTGGGGGAGTGTTTAGGCAGAAACAAGGGTAGTACATGCAGGATCATGTGCCATCAGGTCTTGTGGAGGTAAGAAAGTACTTTCATGTAGCATAGCGCATGAGAGAGAGTAGAACATGGACCTGTATGTTCCACAGACATCCGTGATGTATGTTCTGCTGAATCTCGGGGTAAATAACAGCTTCTTTGTGTCCTGGAGCATTTGTGCATTTATAAGCACTTCGTCTGGTGTTAATTGCTCATCAATTAAAAAACCCCTTAGTAGCCATTGAGGTGTTTATGATGATGAGTTTTTCATCATATCTTTGTATGTACTAGCACAGAGAGTTGCTAGATTTTGTGAGAACTCTGGCTGAAAGTTAATATTGCTATAAAGTGGTACAATACCATAAAAGACAGTTTGACTATAGCCAATTAATTCAGAGTTAATTTCCCCTAACCTCTACCTGTATAGGTAGGGCATATTTCCTGGAAAGACTGAGAAGTGTGCACTAGAATAATTAATTGAAAGTATGGATAATTTTAAAAAGAAAACAGTTAATGAGATGCAACTTTTTTTTTGTTGATCTCAATTAGTACTGATAAAAGTATTGTGTTAACAGATGATGTTTTAAAATAGTTTTAGTTAAATTATTGCTGTTTAGTCTTAGTTTGAAAGACAATTTTGCATGTTCGTTTTCCATCGCATTTGTTATATTTTTTGTTATTGTTCGTCTATTTTTGTTTCAGTGTCCTCCAGGAATGAAACAGCAAGTTTTGGCTTTCTATACAAAACTTTTAGGAAGAATACGACAGCCTCTGCTTCCCCATATAAATGTGCATAGGCCAGTGCAGGTACTGTTCAGATTTTAAGTAAACGTTATTTTGTATGATAAGTTTCTCTGGGTGTATTGTGACTAATGGCATCTTTTCTTAAATTTTTCCGTTTTTTGGCGTGTTAAAAAAAAACTCCGTTGTTTCCGGTCCTTTCTATTGCTGCAGTGTGATATCACTTTTCGCGTACTGCTAATTAGAGCCTTGAACTGCCACTGCAATGCAAGTTGTAAGTAATAAAGAAATATTGTTCACTGCAGTCTAAATCTAGAGCAACTGTCAAGTCAGTATTGTAGAATTCAGTCCATCATTCGTAGGAAAAGCTACAACTTACTTCCAGTTTTAATTGTTTGGCTTTTCTTTATGTGACAGAAATTAATCAGGCTATGTGGTGAAGTTCTGGCAACACCAACAGAAAACGAAGAAATTCAGTTTCTCTGTATAGTATGTGCAAAGCTGAAACAGGATCCATACCTGGTCAACTTCTTCCTTGAGGTGAGCAACTCAAATCTGCATTTCTCAGGTTTATTTCTAAAAGACTATGTCACAGGCAAAATCTAATGGAGAACTCGAGGTAGCAGATTAGTGCTTCACAGATGACTTTTAATTCATCAAACTTTGTGATTTTTTCCTCTGGTATTGAAACCCTTTGCTGCTAGACTTGATACAGCCAATTCTTTTTACTAGAATTTCATTCAGGGCTCACAAATTTACCCACTTGAGGTCTTTACCTGTATAGCTTTTAGAGGGCACTCTCCAAATCAGAAAACAAGAATTTTTAGCCAAGGGAAGTAATAGCGGTATAGACTATAACTTAGAACATTGCGAGAGAAGGAGACCTTGGACTTCTTAAGTTGTTTTGTCTTCAGCCCCGTAAATACTAAGGGACAGATTGCGTAGGGCGCTGAAACTTTGCAAAATGCTAAGTGTTTTGCAGGATTGGGCCCTTATTTGGTAGTGACACATATGATCTAGCTGCAGTGCCAGCTCACAACCTACAATATGGGATTATTTTCTATCTGTAAGAAAGCCAAGTGTCTTTACTCCCCTCTTGGAACTTAACAAGTGGCATTGCTGAAATCGGAGTGGGAGGAGAAAGAATTTCTAGGCTGGCTTTCTGTTCTCATTTAGGAGCAACATATACAAGGTTAGTTTGTAGAAGTCTGTTTAGAAATTCTTCCTGCTCCTACTTTGATGCTTCTTACGGTGCACACTATCTATTATATATATGATATGTAGGTGAAAAGATGTAGGTATAGTCATACGCCAGGAATATTTTACAAGCTTTCCCAAAGCAGGAATCTGTCTTCCTATACAGCAAAGATATTTTTTCCTGTAAGTTTCTGAATGTCGCTTAAACCTTCATTAGTAAATCCATGTTCAGTTTATTCTTACCTTAATAAAGTATTGCCCAGATTGCCATTGTATCCACTGTAACTGTACAAGCAAAAACATTGGTATAAGGATTGAACTGTTAGTGTTTAAATATTAGAGGCTCTCAGGAGCAAGCTACCAGCTATATTACAGGCAGAATATGATAGAGGTCCGAACCCCAGGGTAACTTGTAATGTAATTTGTGTAAATCATATGGCTTTAAAAGAGCAAATAAGACCCTCTGAATGACTGTTATACTCAAATAATGCCCCTGAAATCAAATTTGAGAACACCTGTTGTGGAAGTATTTTGTCAAATATTAGTGTTCTGCCTCGAAATGGCAAAATTACAATATTAAAAATCAGACATGGAAAATCAGATTATGCCAGATTTCAAAGAGAGCTCTAGCTTTGCAAAATGCGGACTGTGGAGTTCAGAGAAGCCAAAGAAGATTCTTGTAGTGCCTCTTTCCATCAGGAGATTGTTCTAAGCATTGTAGTCTAGGACAGATGTCTTCACTACTTCTGATGGTAATTTCCAGATAAGGTATTTGGGATGCAGAACTGTCCTTTATTAGAATACAGTATTCTGGTTGTTGGCATCCAAGACTCTCAGAGGCGCTGTTGTCGTGACTTGATATCTGTTTCTGACCTTCGAATGCATGACAGGGTACACTTACAGAATTCTGTGTGACATTTGTCTCTCAAGTCTCTAACGCTTAAAGCTGAAATGCAGGTATAGCTCTCCAAAACAGTCTGTTTATATCTCTGTAAGTTTTACTTCCTTTGACTTTTCCTGATAAGCTTGTACAGTATGTTATGAACTTAGAAAACGGAGCAGGTACAAACTCCCAAAGATGTCCCCCGTATGATTCCGTATTAAATAGTCTGTTCTTTGTTATAACTATTTATACTTGCTGATCTATTTATATATTTGTTTTTAATCTTTCACCTGTGTTGCTTAACCGATAGGGCGGTATGATGTGACTGTATCTCTTGAGAAAGTTACTTTTTTAAGGAAATGAGAATTGGAAGAACCCCATTCTTTTTAAGACCTGACTCAGAAGTGTCTTCTGAAGTATCTTGAGCAGAGTTCCATGTGCTAGTTTTATTTGGTCTTTAATTTATTCCTTTTTTTGAACTGAATTTCCCTTGTTCTGGTGTATAGAGAAAGAACATACAAAGGAATGTTTGAATTATCACCTCTGTTGTAGTTGTTATTTTATGTTAAACATGTTTAACATAAAGTATTTTTCCCTTATTTGTTTCCTCTTTAGTTACCCCACCTCAACTCCTCTTATGAGAGGTATTTCTTGCAGCTGATCCTTCCATGCAAAGGAAGCTTCTCTGATTCAATTCTTGCTCTTTAAACAAGCTTGAACATAGTATCCGTTAAAAAACCGTTAAAAACAGAATATAAAATGAGAACCCTCATTTTGTAAAATGAACAAGGGTTTCACTATTCACTTTGACTTAAGTTACTACAAAGCAGCAGGTTTATGCTTTTCACTGTGAATTGAGTGGACATTTTTGTTAGCTGTGATACCACTTCATTTTTCACAGAATTGTTTTAAAATCTGTTTGCGTTTATAGACTGATGTGGCAACATCCACCACGGAATTCGACACTCAGATAGTGACATAATACGAAAATATAAAAATGTACTACTCTTTGCTGATAATGAATTCATTTAAAGGAGTGCTTTGCCTAGAAAACACTGAATATATATTTCATGTAACCTTTTCTGTCAGATCATTCAGGATCCTGTCTTGCACCTTTACAGGAGGCAGGTGAGCAGCTAAGCTGCAGAACTGCATGATTAATCAACAGGAAGCTTAAATACATGAAAAGCTCTGCATACGTGTTGTTCAGTGTACAGACTGCTTTGTGTCACCTGCCAATGCAAGAGTAATGAGCTGTGGTCAAATTTAAAGGGGGATTTATACTGTTAGGTATAGCTAAAGTGTAAACTATGACCTTTCAAATGATAGGAGAGCCCATGCATGAGGTAGTAAGTTGGTGCAAGGTAAAATGAATGTTTTACAGAATCATATGTAATTTTTGCAAAAAGTAGCTTTTATCTTTGGTGATTGAAAACGCAGTTCTAGCCATAGCAGCTAGGGCAAACCAAGTATTTGAGTCGTTTTTTGCCTTTTTGATTACACTTTGGTATAAATGAAAAATAGGATAAACTACAGGGAGGTAGCACAGCCTTTAGATGCACCATAGCCATCGTGAATGTTACAGTTCTGATCCAGCTATTCTCATATATTGATAAAATATATAGGAGGAAAAGGTATACGTTGAAGGAGTGATTCTTCTACTCTAGTCAAAAATTGCACTTATTTTATAGCTTGCTCTTGCCACTGGGCTGCCTCTCAAGGCATGTTGTTATGCGAGTGTATCGCGACATTCAGAACAGATTCTCCACAGAGAACGTGCATCAGTTTGCTGCTCGAGACTGTCATGTAGTTAGTCCCTGCTGGTCTGTATGTACTAAACACTGTTAACCCCAAATGGTTCCTCTTTTAAATAGTTAATGCTTGAGATATATATTTGTAACAATTGTGGTGTTATCATAGAGGAGGGAAACCCTTTGGATTTATAAACTCGCTGCTGTACTTACTTAAAAAATGAGTCTTATGCTGAAATCTAATTTATGATTCTAATACACTATTATTCACCTGCGCTTATGCCAGAAGAACAGAGAATTCTTGCCTTGCTGTGAGTTTCACTGTGGTCTTGCAGAGCATGAATCTAAATGTCTCTTTATGTGCGGGAGTCAGATTTATCTTATAGAAAGACAAATGGGTTGCTTTCTTTCAGGTTAAGCAGAGATGCTTTGCAGCTTCTGAAAGGTTCTCCATGATCTGTTACAGTACCCAGTGCTTAGAATAGTCTTCTGTCCGTTAAATCTACTGATTTTTTTTTCTTTATAAAGAAACACAATTTGAGAGTTATCCTGCTGTCATAAAAGATGCTTTTTTCCCCCTTCCCTTTGAAGGTAAAATCTTCAGAAGTTAAGAATGAATTTCATTGTATGACTTTGACTGGAAATAGTGTTTCAGAGATTAAAAGCATTTGAGGCCTTTCTAGGTAAAGTGATATTTTTCTGTTGTGTGTGCTAGGGTCAAAAGGTGCCCTCGTAGGGAAAATGAAAAATTCATATCAAATACTAGGCAAATCAAGTGAATACGTGCCTCCATTGGTGGAGATAAAAGGATACCATCTCTTTGTGAATGGCGAATTCAGCCTTGAACCAAAATGGCGTAGGGTTTAAGAAAAATTTGAACAGATTAAGAAATGTACTAAGCTTAAAACCTCCCATGCTCTTGCAGCCCGTTACTTTCTACATAGTTACTGCATTCAGCCTTGTAGAGAGCTGCTTCAAATGTCATTGTACCAAATCTCCTTTTAGTACATTTCTGCCTTAGAATGAATTAATTGCAACAGCGTAATTCCAACAAAATGCTTTTCAGAATAAGTTAAAAGCGATGGCTTCCAAAGGATCAGCAAGTGTAATCACAGAAGACATGCTAAAAGGCCAAGATTCTTTGACAACAGACACAGGACAGCCCATTCAACCGGAAGAAATACCTGCTTCTGCTGGAGCAGAGCAAATGGAGAAAGAAGATGACCTCCCTCAACAGGCGGACGATCTGTCTTTCAGTCTGGATGAACTAAATGTCACATCATCATCTGAGTCCTCAACCGTTCGTCCAAATCAAGACTATAATTTAGTGAATTCTCTGCTAAATCTCACTAAAAGTCCAGTGAGTTTGGTTTTTTTATTGTTATTCTCTTTAATGTGATATAGTGGATATTATGTGAAGCAGGGAGAGGCAGGGACTATACATGTATGTACACATTGTATTTTAACTATAAAAAATAAGATGCAGATTTGTTTCGCAGGTGTTTTTTGTAAATTGGTAGTTTTCTTTGCAAGTTCAGATTAAAATTAAAGTATGCTTTTAGAAAATGAATATTAATTTTATTGTTGGTAATGTAAAGTTCTTTTTGAGCAGTTTGTGTGGGATGCTGCATGCTTCACAAACAAGTTGAATAGGATAGTCTTCAAGTGAAATATATCACAGGAGCATTTTTAAAAAGCTACTTGCTGTAGTATTGACTTAACCAGACCCACTTTTTTTTTTTTTTGTATAAAAGCACTGGAGTACGTCCAGGAATTTGATTTCTTTTCAGAACAACTGCTATATGTCTCACCCAGCTCCACTCCGGAATTCATACTCCAAAAACTTAAAGGAGAGTTGGATAAGCCTGTAATTTTGACAGCACTGTTGAGAGCAAAGCGCTTTATATATCTATGTACGTTGCAATTGTTAAGTGATAATTTACATTGGCTAATGTCTTGGTCTTCATCTGACCTACAGCACTAGGGCCGTAAGCCTTAAGGTTGCAGTTACTTTCTTGATATATGACATGGATTCAGATGAGGTTCTTTATTTTGTACCATTCAAATTCAGAAGAAATAACTTTTAATGGCTGAAAAAGAAGCAAAAGGAAATGTATTCATTCACTGAGGGGGTTGGGAGAGGTTTAGTTTGGGAGATATTTGCTTCTTTATTTTAAGTGAGCTTCATTCACCTTCTGATTAATTTTTCCATGCCCTTCTGCCAGGATGGCCGGATAGCAGTGAAGGCCTGTGAAGGCCTCATGCTCTTGGTGAGTTTGCCAGAGCCAGCAGCTGCCAAGTGCCTGACTCAAAGCACTTGTTTATGTGAGCTGTTGACAGACAGGCTGGCCACCCTCTACAAAGCCCTGCCTCAGTCACTGGATCCTTTAGACATTGAAACGGTGGAGGCAATTAACTGGGGGTAAGAATTTTACTTTTGTATTTAATACCTGAGGTAATTTTACACCCCTCCTCTAAACTCATTTTCTGTAGCTACATAAGATGTAAAAGATATTTACGTTCCCATACTAAAGTTTCAAGAGCAGAGTTTGGATACTGACTGCAATAGAGTGGTAAGACTTCAGACATCCAATGTAGTCATTATTTTTGACATTAAGTCAGGTTTGACTGCCAGTCCCCTGCAGAGATTCCTCAGGAAGCAAGATTTTCCATTGAATTATATTAGCAATTTGTTCCGATATAGCAGTAGTATCAGATACAGATTATTTTCCTATTTGGATGTCTAGAATATCGGAACTATATGCATAAACCTTTCACTGTACACAGTGAGCACAGACCTCTAAGCTGCTAGAGAGGGCAGGAAGGGTGTATTTGAGAGCAGGCTGTTGCTGCGACATTTTTGCAGTGAAGAAGAAGGAAAGAATTATTGCATAGCTCATCAGCACAAAGCAAAAGATAATATGCCTGTCATCCTACCTGCTTGTGTGTTAGATACTCAATACATTTAAATACTGTTCCTCGCTCTGCCTTCATTATTTTGAATTGATCGTGATCTGTTAGTATACTTAGACAAAGTGCAGGTATTTGCAAAAAGAGTATATTAATTTCTGGTGGCTGGAGTTAGAAGAAAAAAGGTACAACCTGTAATAGCGTGGTAAATAATTATTGGGCCAGTTTAGCAAAGAAAGTGGTGAATTTGTCATTCTATAGAGCTTTCAAATAGAGATGCATGGTTTTTTTGAAAGGTGCAGTCTAGTTCAGGAATATGCTGTGTGATTTCGGTGGTCTTGATTGAGGTCACTTACAGAGTAGAGAAAAACAATTCATTTTATGGTTCTCTGACTACAGGAGTTATTGATTCAGTTTCTGTGGTCTGTATTCCCTGAGAGAATAAACTAGATGATCAGTACTCCCTTCTGAGTGAAGAAACACTTAAACTAAGTATCTCCACACAGAATTTTTCTGCTGGACATACTACGTATCCTTTAACATGCCATTGAAAACCTTTTTGTGTAGAAAAGCTATTCTAATGGTCACTTCATTGTGAGCAGATCATTAATTATGCTGTTAAGTTCAATAAGAAGAGTGTCCAGCGTTCTTCAGATATTCTTAAAAAGACTAAATAAGTATTTTTCCCTACATTCTCCAGTCTGGCTTGCTACAGCCACAAAGAAGATGCATCTGCTTTTCCAGGGAAAAGAGCCCTAATCTCATTTCTTTCATGGTTTGACTACTGTGATCAACTCATCAAAGAAGCACAAAAGGTTTGAAGTGTTTGTAGATGATACAAACGTATTCAGAAAATAAATAGTTCAAGTAGTTTCTTAGCTTTTCAGTGTGAGACCCCATTCTGTATTTTTGTTTTCAGACTGCTGCTGTTGCTATGGCAAAAGCTGTGCGGGATCGATTTTTTGTTGATGTTATGGAACCCCAGCTGATACAAACGTGAGTAGCATCCTTCTACAGGAAACAGCAGCAGAAGAGAATCTGAGTCAGGTCGATATTTTTCAGCTGAAATCCAGTACCTATCTAACGTTAAATTTATCATTCAGCTCAGAGATTGGAATCCTCACATCAACGGCACTATTGCATCGCATTGTTCGTCAAGTGACTTCAGATGTCCTTCTGCAGGAAATGGTTTATTTTATACTTGGAGAACACAGAGAGCCAGAAACTTTGACAGACATCAACAGACATCCGTTGCGACATAGGTTAATCGAGCACTGTGATCATATTTCTGACGAGGTGAGAAATGATAATGGTGGGATGTCTACTGGGCAGTTTCTTCTTGCTCAGGGTCTATAAAAACACCACTGTGAGGTCATTTTGTTTTTGTGTCAGCTAACTTTTCGTTTTAACCAAGGAAAAGAGTTATGACCGCCAGTCCTGCAAATACCTCTTAGAATGTGAAGATCAAACTGCTTTATCCAACCAGTACATTTTTTTCTAGCAATAAAGATTCTTTGATAAATTTACTTGCTCCATATGTATGTATATTTGGGCTTGTTTTTCTGTAAAACGTGGCAGACTCTGTTTGTGTAATTGCATTTTAATTGGCCGTTTTTTATATGTTGCATCGCTGTTATTTTCCTTATGTCAGTTTTGTCATGTTACCACCTAAGGGGTAGTTTAAAACTACTTTTCTTTTTTTTTTTTTTTTTTTTTCAATTACACAAAGCAGGTTTGGCCAGAGAGTATACACAGTGCCAATTAAAAGATGATGTAGTAACTTTAAGCATTTTACACAGCATAAACCTTATTAAAATAATTGACTTCAGTGAAACCCCTTCCAGGAAGCTGTTTGTGTAGCTGGTCTTTCCATGAAACAGCCTCCACTCTTTACTTGCTCAAAAAATCCCCAAGCCTACCTGAAATACGGATCTATGCTTTGATATACTCATTTTTTTCAATCTACTTACCTGCCTACCCTTTCAGATTCAGATAACTGTATAAATTAGCTGATCTTTGCAAAGCTGAGCGCTCTAAAGCCATCTCTAAAGACAGCCTCTCTGTTGCTTAAAGTCAGTCCCTTTTTAAAAGCCTACATAGTGTCTCCATGTAAAAAAGCCTCTAGTTCTGGCCATGACATGCCAGTATTACTCTTTTTTATTCTGGATATTTATTTACTACCTTTAAGTCCTACTGTATATCTGGCTTGCACGGTAATAACCATTTTCCAACATGGATCCGATTGTAATACGGAAGGCTAAGTTGTAAGTTCTTTGGATGTTCTTTGTATTGTTATTTTGACAGGTTTGAGAAGAGTTTTTGTATTATAGAGCTGTACTGTATGATGTTATAGGAAAAAAAATATATGCACATACTGGTTTTCAAGTGCATTTGGTGCCATATTTATATACCACGCTTGGCATAATGATTTTCTAATTCTGCCTGGGAATTTTGGTTCCTACCATAATATAAATAAATATGTTCTAGGTTGTACAATGTTCTAGGTTGTACAAACATGCCTATAAGACAAATAGCATAAGCATAGCAACTGTGCATGAGTTCATTGAATTTTAACTTTTTATTTTGCAGATCAGTATAATGACTTTAAGAATGTTTGAGCACCTTTTGCAAAAACCCAATGAGCATATTCTTTATAATTTGGTTCTGAGAAATTTAGAAGAAAGAAACTATATGGAATACAAGCCTTTCTGTCAGGAAGATAAAGATGTGGTAGAGAATGGACAGATTGCAGGAGCAGTGTAAGTTTGCTTTTTTAAGAAAAGTTTTCACAACAGCTAACTTGGATTCTTATTTGTAAAACAAAACAAGTCTTTTCCTTCATTAATTGAAGGAAAAGTGAGCACAGCACATCATTAAGTGTTTTGTTTGTTAATCTATAAACGTAACGTGCATATATATGAAGTGATGCACAAGGTTTGCCATCAGCAATTTATGAAAATTGTTAGAACAGTAGCAAGAGCTGAAATTAACCAAAACTTCTTTTCTAAATAGGCATTCTAAGGTCTTGATATAGTAATTTACTTAGGCATCTATATAGCTTGAGTCTGTGCATATTTGTATTGATTTCAGTGAGATTGTTCTTAAAGTCAATCACTTAGGTATCTTGCTTACATTAATGTTTTTGAATCATATTTTTTGATGGAAGAACATTTCTAAGACACTTTATATAAAATTCTTTGAAATACCCTACCTACTATTACAACTCCTTTTTTTTTTACTGAACAGAGGTGTAAGGACTAGTTACACCAGCTATTTTAGGCATCTCAATTAAGATATTTCTGAGTCATCTAAAATAGTCTAATGATTTCCCTGAGTAGAAGTCTCTCTCATGTGGAAAACTTGGCTAAAAAATTTAAGTGATTTAGCGCAGTGATTTTGTAGCAGTCAGAAATGTCCAGCTCTTTTGTTCAGATCAGCAGGTTATGAATTTTCTTCAAAAATAAAACAAAGCTTGCCAGGTATTTGTAAAGGTTGGCATTTCTGCATATTAGGTAAAAAGATGCACATATTAGTGTGTTCTGAAAAACATGCTAATTTTTCAGAGAAGAAAAATAGAAAGTATATCTTCTGATCCAGAAAGTTCCCTGCCTTCCATAACATTCTGTGAATTTTTATGTTTGTGTCTATTATAATCTCACAGAGACCTAGAGGAAGATCCATTATTTACTGATCTGTCTCCAGATAACACGCTGTCAACTCAAGAGTGGCTCAGTGCTTCTCCACCTGTCAGTCCAGAACATCCGAAAAATGATGGGAAAACTGAAGTTCATAAAATTGTAAATAGGTGAGTTGAAACAAATCCTTAAAGAAATCCCTGAATGTGTGGGTGTCTGCACACACTGTGCAAACTAAATGAACTCTGTAATGGGCGTAGGTCTGTGGTTCTGTGCCAGCTGGCAAAATGACTCCACGGAAAAAGAATTATGTGATGTTTTACCAGAAAGCTACTCCTGAAGGATTAGAGCTTACAATAAGTAAAAAGAATTGAACAGAAACCAGAAAAATAGAAAAACTTTACAGCGAATATTCCAATCTGTTACTCAGACTTCCAGATAAAAGCCTAATTGCGTATAAAACATTCTTTTCTCAAAAAAATTTGCTGAGTTTAAACTAGTCTTATAAGGGGCTTGACCTTCCTGGAGATGTCTGGGGAATGTTGCCAGAAAGGTTTCATGGAGGGGGGAAAACTACTAGCTTCCCAGGGTTCCTTAAACACATATATAAAACAAAATAATTGCCAGGCTAGAGATAATCATCTATTCCCAGAAACAAGTCACCTGTAACGTACCTTTGTGCATGTTAGACGTACTGCAAATTGGATACCACAAAGAGGACAGGCTCTGCTCTAAGCAACTTAGTGATGGTAATTTTCTTAGCTACTAATATGAGGGCAGTTGCTGTTTGCTCGGTTAATTCGTGTTAGCAAAGCAGCACGGGTATTTCAGTGCTGACCTACCTATTTAAGCAGAAATAATCAAAGGTGTTAGCCAAGGGAAGCAAGCAGCCCAAGGACCGTCAGCGTAGAACTGAATAGTTGTTTCTTGTCCTCTTCCCCCAGTACTGCTGTGTGTCGTTTATGGTGGACTTGGTTTGGAGCAAAGGTGATCTCCACAATGTACCCCGTATAATCTCCATCGGGGAACAGAAGTTTTTTTTATGATTTGCAGTGTTTTGCAAATTTATTTTTTTCAGATAATGTGAACTGCAATAAGAAAACTCAACTACTCCGTATTTCTGACTATGTATACAGATCTTTCAGGAGCCTCAGCAGTTCTTGGTGTGTGGAGAAAACTGAACTTTGGAAAGAGGATCCAAAAGCTGAATGGGTTTTTGCTGTTCAGAAATTTTCATTTTCTAAGTTTTTTTTTAAAGGCAGTTCCTCTCTAATAGAATTTAGAATTTCCAGAGGTGTTCCTTAGGCCAGATATCAGTGACAAGTAATAAGGACATACATATTTGCACTACATACCTGATAAAGGCAATCATATTTGTAATTGGGGCAGCTATTCCTGTATGCTCTTGCGTGTTTATTGCTACAGCAAACGATGGCAAATAAAAATGCCTTTGCAATAGGTTAGGAAGAATTTTAATTGTGATTCTCCTTTTCTTCTGACTCATTTATTCTCCAGTGAACTTTCCATCTGGTCTGGTAAGATGGAGTCTGACTTTTAGTAAATGTCCGTACTGGTCATGGCTATTCCTTTCCATCTTCATTTTGTCTGCTCGTTTTCAGAAACTGCTAGCCGTACTGACTTTTTTTACCCCAGCGCCCGATACACAAATTCTGAAGTATATATGTTGTTATTACAAACAGTAGTTAGAACAGACTTGCGTAAGTAGAGTTTGTATTCTCTGTTCTTCACATGAAGTTACAGTAAAATGTCTGGATTAATTGGGCATCTGATTCAGTACTGTGTCCACTATTACAGGTGATGAAGAAGTATGGACCTGATGCTCCATGGATGGTAGTTAAACATTAATGTACTTCTGTCTCTTTTTAGTTTTCTCTGTCTTGTACCTGATGAAGCTAAGTCCTCATACCACGTGGAGGGTACAGGTTATGACACTTACCTCAGAGATGCCCACAGACAAGTAAGTCACTGAAGTCTTCTTTAATCAGTCCCTGAGAACTTGAAATGCTTATGAGAACGTACACATGGTTCTATAAGTAGTCCTACTACATGTATCATTTGGTAATGGCAGATGGGAAAACTCAGTTTTTATTTTCTAATGAAATCTTACCTTCGGAGATTTTTGAGGGTGAATCCACCTTCTATTATTCTAGCAGGAATAATGAATGACATTAAACGCATTAACATTCACATAACAAATACACTGAGAGAAAACCTGAGCTGCAGATAGGTTCTTAATTTGTTTTTTCATTTATCTGCGTTCTCTTGGAGAATTGCCTGCCAAGCTGTTTGAAAGGACTAAAGGGAAATTAAAATGCTGCATAGGAGTTATGCAATCTGGGACTTTAAAAATAAAGGCTCATCACAGGGAATATGCAGCCTAAGGCATTCAGGTTTGAAGTTGAGGATTCTGGTGAGAAAGCTTTGTGGTTTACTATTTTGAAATAAACGCAGGTTTTGCTTTTACAAGTGTCATCTCGAGTCTCCTTGGTCAGAGGACAATCACTGTTTATTTGCAGCTTTCTTAATGAGGCCCTATGAATCTTCCACAATAGAAAAAAAAATATGCAAAGCAGTAGAATAACTGAGAGAACTATATTTAGTAGGCACTTGAAAAATTCCATCATCTCTGAATTATGATGTGAGCAGTTTGAAATAGGAAGCCTGGATTTCTGCATTCGTTGTGTTGTTTTACCTGTAGTCTGTCCTATAAAGAGAGGGAATAGAAAGTAGAGAATAAGGAAACAAAGGTTCATGTAAAATTCCCCTGTGTTCTATTCTTGGATGCCAGAAATTACATATCATCTTGGTATTTCTTTCATGCCTTAGGGAAAAGAGTATTCTGGGAGTTATTAGAGAACAGAATTGGTTTCTGTCACTTCCTGACAATGATATGGCTACTCTTAAAATATTTCTCCCCTAAGAATAGCCCTGCCTATTGCTGTTATTACATCCAAATAGCTATTCTACTTCCATATTTCTATTCCTAGAATCCTGCACAGGTAGGTAAGCTGCATGCAGGAAAGAGTTCCTGAGCTTGTTTCACCTCTCTTTTGCCATGGTTTACCCCTGCATTCCATATTTTCACTCCTATAACCTGTGATCCTTTCAAGATATAATTCCTTGAAAGTGAGACATCAGGCAGCCCACAGCAAACCGGAGGCAGAAGCTGACAGCCTATTGAGAAAGACTTGAGTATTTTCTGGGTGATCAGAACCAAGGAGAGGGAAGAGGAAGCCCTGAAGTACGCTTTTTATCACCTGCGCATACACGTGCCTTCCCTATCCTGGGAATTCAGGAGGAATTGGGTTGGGTAGATAAGCTGCATGCTGTATGGTAAAAACGTGGTAACTTATTTACAACATTATCATAAGTGAATGCAATTCCTGCTTTAGAAGAATTCTTATCAGAATGTGTATAATGCTGGCTTTGCTTTGTGTCTGGGTCCCAGTTGCTTTTTGGGAGCTCTGTTCTGCACTCATTGTGTTTCTGAAACTCCCTTAATAGCATGAATGTCAAAAAGAAAATGAAGTGCCTGCATAGAAACTGATGATGATTATTTTGGAATGACTGTCCTTTTTGAGCTTCGAGTACTCAGATAGCTACAGTTTATAGTCTTAAGGACTGGAGGCTGTTAAAATTAAAGGGTTTCCTTGGAGGTTGGTATCTTTTTTTCTGCCCCCAATAAATATTTTTCATGAAATTGTTTGAGTCTGTTTTCCTGCCTGCTTTTTTCTAGTTCCGGGATTATTGTGCCATCTGCTTACGATGGGAGTGGCCTGGATCTCCCAGATCTTTGGAAAAGTGCAATTTAGAAGCATCGTTTTTTGAAGGACACTTCTTGAAGGTCCTGTTTGAAAGAATGGGCAGGATTCTTGATCAGGTAAAAAAAAAAAAAAAAAAAAGTACATTATTAATTCCCTTTCTGATGCTTTAAACATTGCTAAATAGCGAGTTGTTATTTAGCCGTTTTTATCAGTAGATATCAGAAAACCTTACAGGAGAAGTCAGTATCATAAAATTAATTTCTGAGAGACAGTAGATGAGGCACGAAGATGAAGTGACTTGTTTCAAGGCTGTTCAAATCCAGTATATCATCTAAGAGACTGGCATAGCCATATAACAAGGGAATGTCTGTCCGTGTCTTGTCAGCGTTGTCTGTTCTGAATACATGAAATTCCACTAGTCGGGAGATTTTTAGCTGAACTAAAATGTCAGTTTGTTTCCACTGTGATCCTGATGAGAAAATCAAAGCTGAAAAAAGACTTGAAACATAAAGAAGCTATGATGAAAATACTTTACTTTAAATGCCTCTTGCGTTTAGCTGATCTGAGGAAAGGAGGTAGAGAAGAAGCTCAGAATATTTCATGCTGCATTCCCAGCGCAGGACTGTCTCATCTCCCATGGCAGTACTGCGTGCTGCCACAAGATGACCAGGCCTTCTGCAATGATTCTTTCCAAGCAAACTGAAAGTAAGACATATACCGTATTAGCTGCAAACATGGATTTGTCTCTCTCAGTTTCCTGAGCTCATATAGTTTGCAGATATCCAGGGGAAGCAAACAGATGTTTAATCTAGGCTGATCCTATGCTGTTTGTTTTGCTACTGAGCTGAATAACTATTTTATAGCAAAAGGACTTATCCCACAACAAACTAGAAGTTTACAAAAGCATTACTTAAAATGCATCTGTGCAATAGCCCTGCTTGGAAACCTCTGGGATTTCATGTGGTTGTAGCAATTATACAGATAATAATATTTAATACCTAACTGCCATGTCATTTTCTTCACTGCTATTGCGGAAAACACAGGTTTGGGGCCTGTCTTCTAATCTAGTTTTTTATCTTTATATAATCATAGCCTAGTATGTAAGGTTCTAGTAGTTAAATAAGCACTTGCTAGATAAAAAGAAGCCAGCATGAAAATAGCTAAACACTGTAGTTTTTTGTTTGTTTTGTTTGTTTTTGCAGCCCTATGATGTAAATTTACAAGTTACGTCAGTGTTGTCCAAACTCTCCTTGTTTCCCCATCCTCACATACATGAATATCTTTTGGATCCTTATGTAAACCTAGCCTCTGGCTGTAGATCTCTCTTCTCTGTTATTGTCAGGGTGAGTAAACACACAGTTAATATTTACATATGGCTATACAGCAGTGATAAATTTAGTAACTTTGTAATGAATATTGTAATGTAATGAAGTTGGCAAATGACTTATTACTAAAAATAGGTTCTTATATTTTTGATTTGAAAATCGTAACTATGGCTTTCCTAACAGAAACAAACTTGGAAAATACTTTTCCCAGCATTTATTTCCTTTGTACCTGTCTTCAAAATTGTTTCCCCTACCATATTTGCTTAGTTTCATTGTGTAGATGTAAAATATCCCCACTGGCAATTATGTTACTTTAAATCTGACTTGGTCACGTTGTTGTCATTTGCAGGCAATGTCACATAATGCCATAAGTGCAGGCAGAGTTCAGGTTTGCGCCTGGATGGGAAGGAGATGGCTTTTGATTCACAAAAAAAGCAAATGGTGCTCCTGAATACAGTGTGCTTGGACGCAGTGCCTCTGCCCAGGCTCTCTCCTTTCTGATGAAGGCTGTTCTCGAATGTCCTGCTGTAGATTCTGCTCAGTAATAAAATCCTAGACTTATCAAAAGTCCCTTTCCTTTCCCTTTCTGATCATCTCTTCCTGTGAGACCTTTATCCTACAAATGCTGGCTGGCTGCATGATTCTTCTCAGTCAGAGATCCCTTGCCTACCCCACGCACCAGCTGTTATTAAGTTGGTCAGGAGCCTATTATTGGTGCTAACTTGCCCATTGCTAACAGAGGGTCTAGCTCCCTTTTTCTCAGTAGCCTCCTCCATTTCAAACTATAGTCTTAACTTTCTCCCTTTGTGCTTTCCTAAACCCACGAGTTTCCTGGTCAAAGTGCCTGCATTAACATTTACTGAGGCAGATTAATCACTGGCATCATTAAAGTAAGTGAGTAATACCCATTTGTGGCAGCAGCAAGTAAGGCTTAAGATTTCCTATCCCTTTGTAACTTTACTTTCTGTGCCCACATCTTTGGCACCTGTTAATATTTTTAGTGCTTATGACCTCGTACTCTTCTTTGCCGCATAGTGACTAGTCTGCATATTGTTTTAAGAGTCCATGAGAATTGTGAAATGAGTCTGTAGCTCAGGCATTGAAGGCTCTCGTTTAATCCTTGCTGCTAGCCACTCTGCAAAGCTGTTACTTTGGGCGTTGATGGCACTGTGCTTTACAGGTTGTTGGGGACCTCATGGTTAGAATCCAGCGCATCCCAGATTTCACTCCCAAACTTCTGCTGGTCAGAAAACGCCTGCTGGGCTTGGAGCCTGAAGGGCCCATGTGAGTAAATACATTGCATGCTCTCCAAGACACACTGCTGCTCTTTGTGTGTGCCAGTTCTGATTTTTCTGCTGAATTATTTTCCCCTTTCTCAGCATTGACCACATGACGTTGCTAGAGGGCGTGATTGTGCTGGAAGAATTCTGCAAAGAGTTGGCAGCGATTGCGTTTGTGAAGTACCATGCCTCATCTACACCATAAGCAGCTTTGAGTGGCGAGGCTGTAAAATCACCTAGCCTGTTTCACTCAAAAAGACTGTTGACAAAACCCAGATAAAAAGAGGTGGCACCTCATGGCAAAGTGTCAACTGATATTGGGCAGAATTGGAAGACAGGTTACTTTCACCAGTTGTGGGTGTTGGCCACCTTGCGCGAGAGAGAGATTCAAGTGGACCTAGAATACAACTGAAGGGATTTCAGGAGAAACCAATACATAGCATTTCTAGCCATTGTTTGAAGAGCTGCAAAAACTGTATGAAGAACCACAGACATCAGACCTTCGTTATCATTCTGTTGTAATGACAATGTTTAGGGAGTTAGGTCTTTCCTATGTTCTTGGGCTCACTTGCACCAATTTGCTTTTTGTGACCTTATTACTTACAAAATGGCAAGTTAATTTTGTAACATTTTTATGTCTTAACTCTTTTTCTTTTCAATTGGAAATATAAGAGGAAATCATAACCGTATTTGCAGTGGATATTACTAAAAATGAAGCGAGGTTGAAAAGATCCACCGTTCCATATACCATGAGATATATTCTTGAGGGTTCGTCTTTATTTTGGTAAATCGTGAAGAGAACTCTGAGCTTGATTCCCCAGTGGATTACTCCAGGAGCTACATCAGTATAAGATCAATACTAATGGAATTAACCACGATTCAGCATTGCATCCATAAAAGTATTTCTGAAGTATACATGTTTCTAGCATGTTTGTCCCTGTCTTTCCAAATGATCTGTCTTCAGGTCACCTGTGTAACAAGATTTGGTTTAGGTTTCTGCATGTCAATTTTAGTTGCTTGACTCATGGCATCTTTACAGGGAAGTTAACTATAGGTCATCAGTAGTTGTTGCTGAAACAGTATTTTTAACTCCTTTTAAATAGCTAAGTTGGTTTAAGACTCTTTTGTGCCTTGAAATTTTTCAGCATAAACGTTCTGTCACTTTTAGAAAGGTTTTTATTGCTTATCTAACCCTAGCAGTAGTGCCCAGCAAAAAACTGACTGATGCCAGTTCAGTTAAAGTGATGATACCATATGTAGGACCAAAATTTATGCTCTTTTTCATAGCGCTGCGATGCAGGGGTGTATCTTAGAGAGTCTTTTTCAACATGGGTACTGTCTGCCAGGCCAGGCATCGCAAGCTGAGTACCATTTGGACTTGAGCACGCTTAGCTTATACTTCTCCAGGATGGTGGCAGCCTGCACTTCGGATAGTACTTGCTGCTCACTGCTGCGTATGCACTAGCAGGTTCAGGAGGCTGTGCTTTAACCTTCAAATCACGCTTAGTGGTTTTAATGAGAGACCTGCCCTGCTATCTGCACAGCACTGTAGTACCTCTTTAGTCTCTTAGAGATGTTAAAGCATAGGCAGGCAAAGTAGAGTTTAGTTCTTCATGTTTACATTGTGTTTCTTTGTTTGTCTTTCCTAATGTCCTGTTTGCGCAGCTAGTGTCCATTTCAGATGTGATTACTCATATGCAAATATGGACTAATTTACTCAGTCACTAGAATTCCTCTGTAGGTACATGATTGTACCTGGAATCGGATTCTGCCCCGAATCCATGACTTTGAGACCTTTTTCTTACATTTATGGATTCTGGATGTTGAGAGGAGGCCTTTTAAGTTAGCAGGTTAATTAGAGCAGTGGCACGGTTAATGGTCTAAATTTATTCCTGTCACAACAGTGAAGAGGGTCCTGCTGTAAAAGCTTCCAGTACAGGTAAGGCTGGGAAGGAAGGCTAGCTGAGAGCAGTTCTGGAAGAGAGGAAATATTTTTGCAGGTAAAACCTATATTAAATGGCTCCCTGTACTGGGAGTAACTTCTGTTTATACTGCTTGATTTATCTGGCACACAAAAGCATTGTTTACTTCCCCACCTCCTTTTTTCCTGAATTTAGCCCTATAATATTTCCTGGTCATAGTAACATGGTAGGATAAAGTTTAAAGAATGACACCGTTTTCATTTTTTTTCTTTAGAAATAAGCCTTGAGAGCAGCAAATAATTTTTAGAGTCATTTGTACTGCAGTCAGTCCATTTTAGAAGCTTCATTAATATAACGTATCTGACACATGGTTCGGAACATGTAAATGTCTGTGCAGAGTTATGTTTAGTACATATGTTTGATAACTTAGGTCCAAATTCAGCAAAGCAGTTAAACATAAGCTTAATTTCAAGAAGCTTCCTAAATCACAGTCACTTAGATGGATGAAGCTAAGCTGTGAAGCACAAATGCTGATGCTTTGCTGAGTTTGGGTCTTTGTTGTTTTTGCTTGAGCTTAATTACTTTTTTCTCAGAATTGTTATTTTCATTATTTATTTATTTTTAAAAATCTGTGTTCTAGAATATTTCTGATGTCCCAATTTCAGTGGAAATTGGAAGTGATAATACTGCTATAAATGAAAGGGAAAGAAATGTTAAACAAATCTTTCACACAAGAGCATTCCGAGTAATGTAGCAATTTATAAAGCCATTCAAGGGGTGACCAATCTCAAATGAAGTCGTTAACTTCACCCATTTTTTTTTGTTGTTGACATTGTCATTGATACCTGAGTTTGAGCTCAGTACACTGCAAGGAATTGTATCAGTCACTTTTCCGGAAGGACAAGCTGCAGCGTCTGTGGCATTTTAATGTAGAACAGTCCACCAAGGTGCAAGCACAATCCATTAAAGCTTGCCCATGAAAAGATAAGTAGATGTAATTATAAGCACGCTTAAATTCAGGATATACTCGTTCAGTTTCCAGAAACATTGGGGATGTCTTGCAAACCAAATGTTGTTCGGCTGATAAATTTATAAGATATGGATCTATCCTGATTGATAGCAAGAGAAACAATGCTTAAATTCTCTTTTGCCCAAACTGCTTATGTGAGTGCTGCATACAAACCCTTAATTACCGTACCCGATAACAATGACCTTTTGTTTTTTTGTAAAGGTGATTTAATGTTCCTTAAGAGATGGAACTCATTTAATTTTGTTTTGTGATGTTTCTCGTGCACTTTTTTTGAAAAAAGGTAAAAAGTTAGTTCAGGTCCATGTTTTCACCTTTCTAATCTATGCATGTCATTGAGGTGTCCATTTTGTTTCTGTGTGTTTGTGTTTGTATGTGGTTATTTATTACCCACAGGTGGACACCTGAGAAATATACGGCCTGAAGTTCACAGCATGTGCAGATCCTCCAGATGTCAGTGGGAAATGCAAGTGCTTATAACTTTTGAAAGTATGGCCACTAGTATTGGATTGAAATACGTGAGAGGAAATACTAGAATAATTTTTGGTTTCAAAAAGCAGATCCAAACTGCGTTTTAACCCTCATGCACGTGTGTGTAAATAGACGCATTTTTACTTTTATTCCATGTATTGTATGTATTTGATTTAGAGTCTGATAGAGAACATTTTGTAATAAGCAGTGTGCTAGCTCTGGTAGAACAAGCTTGTCCGTAGTCAGTTTCTCTTACGACTGTAATATTCCTAGTATTCAGATCCTGTCTATGTAATGTTCTTCTTATGTATTTGTGCAATATAAAAGCTGTGATTTGATACACAGCTTGAGTCTGGTTGTACATCACCTGTGTAAATATGTATAAGGACCAGAATCCCGAGCTTGCTTACACTATGAGTAGTGTAAAGTTTGTCACACTTGATTTTACAGGGCACAAGTAGTCATGGAATGGCTTTGTAAATGCATGGTAATTTCTTACCATAACTTGCAATATGAAATCACAGATACCATTTTATTAGCACTGGTTGTCTTGCTAAAACTGAAGTGCTAGGTAAAAATCTATGGAATATGTAATAGACTTTGGGTTTTATGAAAAACTGTATCTGGTATTGCATATCATACAGCGTTTTCATACCATAATCCTCAGTACCTTCTGTGCCCTGTAAAATAGTGTAACTATATAAAAAATATACTCCTTGTTTTGCCTCCTGCCTTGTTTACATTAAACAGAGGATATTCAGTAAAATTTTTCTATTGAACTTTGTGTAGGTCACTGACTGACAGTGTTGCCAAGGTTTCACAATTGTGGGATTTCCAATGAGGAATTGTTGAAACAGCCACATTACCAAACATACACAATTAAGTTTTACAAAGGAGGCTGTGATAAAATCCAATTTTTGTGCTTAAAATCGCATGCAGGATTAAAAGGGATATTCTCAAAATAAATTAATTTAAATGAAGCGGCTGCTTATATTATTACAGAATCCCAAATAGTTTTTGTATGGACGAGATGGAGCAGAAAATGTGGAATGTTCATGGTCTCACATATTACATCATGCCTTTGATCCCAAGGTCCTTTGTTGTTTTTTTTTTTAAATTTTATTTTTATTATTTCTGTCACTGCAGCATCTTCTGGAATAAACTGTTTTCCTGTACTGTACTATACTGTGCAGGGCTTAGAGTGAATTAGCATGCCCTTGCACATGAAAATTTGAAGCTAAGGGAAATGGCCAGGATACAGTCATCCTGAACACAGATTGATATCGGCCTATTATCTTTCAAGACTGCAGCAGGTCAAGACCTTGGTTTTCTGTTGCATTTGAGTGCAGGGTGCCTCAGTCACAACATTAGTTTATTGAATTGGATACAAATGTCATGTGTATGAATTAGCATCAGTACTTTCTTCAGGCCTTTGAAGAAGACCTTGTTATATTTTTTATATATGATTAAATTGTATTTGTTGGGTATCTTTTCTTAAAAACTAATCTTGTTTTGGTGTCCTTCAGTTTTTCATTAGCTTTTTAAAAATCTCATTGCTCTGTAAGATCCTCTTTGAGGGTTACGCTTGGATGTTAAATACTGAGAAGGAGAAAAGGCTTAACGGCTGCAAGTGCTCTTGCATCTTTAAAAGAAGAGAGGAACAGCAAGATGGTACACTTAATAGTTCCTTTATAGCTCTCAGCACCTTTACCGTGTTCTCTTGGGTCTTAGAGATTGTCATCTCCCACCCTAACTATTCATTTGAGGTGCCTGTGTGAGGCATTTAGAGATTTAGAGATAATTTAGTTCTTCAGAAGTGTGGAAGTTGTATCAAAATTGCACATTTTAAATCTTCTTGTATTTTGCTCTTACGTTGATATCCTTGAAATCACTGGATTATTGAAGCCTGATAATCTTACAGCACTTGCATTCTGATGCAAAACTTTGGTGCTCTACATCCTATTGAAAGAAAAACAGAGTCCTATCAGTGTGTGGTCTTTACTTCATATTCATTAACTCATTTTACAGAATCTCAGTCAAAGCTCTCAATGTAGATATGAGTAGTACAGGTTCTACTGAACTTGTTAGCCTTTAAATATTAACAGTGCTGGTGCTGTCAAAGCCTCAAGGATTTTTGTATTAGTTTGGAATGTGATCCAGTTGGATTAAAGTGGATTAATGTTCAGAGAAGTGAATCTGTCACAACTTGTATGAGTCCTTTTGGCCTAAACCCGTTATGTTCGTGATGCATCCTTTGTTGGCTGAGGTTCTGTTTGAAGGATGAGCAAGAGAATTGAAGAATAATTTAGGAATCAAGTGAAGCATATGGTGGAATAAAGTTTTCAGGTGTTATAAGCTTCTTGGGAGTGTCAGAAAAGGAGGAAAGTGTGAAAAGTTAAATTTTACAAGTTTAGACAGGTTGCCAGTATTGCTTTGGGAATCAGATTTGTAATGGTAAAAAGATGCATCTTGGGATTTGGCTTCTCACCAAGTGGCAGGGCTATTTAAATTACCCTTGCTACGACGGTACGTATATTCTGCACTTTCTGAACTCTTTTTCATTAAATTCCTGCTAATTATTACACTAAGTGCTGCTGGTGGTATGAAATCTGCTAGAATAGCACTGTGGAACTGAAAACTGTGACAAAAAATGTGTCTTTTAACTTCGATACCAGAGATACATCTTGCTGCTTCTGCCTTTCTGCTTTGGTGCATCGTAATTCAGTAGTGGTTTGTATGATTCCCCCTGCTCTGGTTAAACATTTTATGTACTGAAAAATATTGAAACACATGAAAGGAAGGAAAACTATGTGCAAAACCCTGTTAAAGTGTTAGCCTGTAGGAACATGAGAAAAGGGTAGAATATTCTACTTACTCATCTTCATTTTCAGAAGAGGTGGATCTCATTATATTATAAAATAAACAGTTCTCTGAGATAATAGGTTTTGAGAAAAGGGAGAATATTCTCCACAGAGAGCCCCAGTGGGTAAGTATAAACCTGCTTTAGAAATGTGTTACATTAGGGGCCAGCAAAACACAGACACAGGCATTTTATGTTTCAAGGTGTATGGTATCCCATTTCCCAGTTTGGAGAGATGAAGCAGCCCAAAATGTAAGGCCTTGTGCACGTAGTAATGTGTAACAAGACTGCAGGGAGTTCTGAGGAAAACAGCCAAAAATATTAATTAAAGTGGACAGCTGATTGAAGAGAGAGGGCAGCAGAGATAACAATCTTTATCACAGCCAAATTATGGCTTAAGGTAAGAGGAACATTACTTTCCAGTAAAAATATTTTGAAAGACTTAAGCACCAAAACTGAAGGAATGACTGAACCCAGTTGATCAGAATGCAACTAAGAATGAAGTGATGACTTGGAGGAAAACCGATACTCAGTATCAGTGAAAGCTTCCTGACAGTGAGTGCCGCTAGACTCCCAGGAGAAGTGGAAGGAGCCTGTTACCCAACACATTTTAAAAAGAGACTGGACAAAACATTGAATGTTAAAACAGGAAACTAGCTTGTATATCAGTGGGGAGATGAACTAAACATGTCTTTTACCTCTTGAAATTCCTAGCTAAATAGGGGCTCCTGAATAACTTGTATTTGTTTTGGTAGAAAGCAGGGAAATGGACTGATCCACTTGAAAGTCTCCTGTAAATGGAGAAGGTTGCAGCAATCTGAGAAAGGTAATTTGCAGCTTTCCAAAATGAGACTCACTTAGATAATAACCTCTTTGTGAAAGCTGCACCCATTACAAGTAGCAGGTGGTACAGCTTGATTAGCTGGGCCCACGATCCCCCCCCACCCCACCCCCCCACTATGCTGAGCTACCTTGGAGAGAAGAAACAAATTACCAATTCCCTGAAACTTCATTATCCTTTACTTGAAAAACCCACTTCGACTTTGCTCATCTCCATATCCACAGGAAGCACCTGTCAAGTTTATATTTCTTAATTTGGGTTTATTTTCTCAGTCATGAATTTTTATTTCCTAAGGTTTTCAGAGACTCCAATTCTTGCTTGAGCAGCATGATTCTCAATACTGTGTTTATTTCCAGAATTTAATTTTCCTTAAGTTTCCTGTAAAAGAAAGAAATCTCCCTCCTGTTTATCCTGCCTTTTGAGACTCATATTGTCCTGCCTTGCTAATTCCATCCTTTCAAATCCCCTAGAATATTGTTCTTCTCGTCCTTCACCCCAGGAATTCTGCAGTCAACAGTTTGTTCAGCTCAGTAGGCAAAGATTGTTAAGGACAATATAGACAAAAGCAGAGCTGCTTCTCTCTGCACAGTCAGCTGCAGGATCTGCAAGGAAAATTGTATCTTCATAGCCAATGTGGCTGGGTTGATCAGAATGAAATACTGAACACATCATTGTAATTGATGGGAATTTCACCTTCAATAGAAACGATACAAGGTCTTCACTCTGCTTAGCAAACTCATTTCTTTGGGAAATAGGAATGAAAATTATTGGAGAAGAAAAAATGTGTTTGTGAGTCTCTTATGATGACTGAAGAAAACTGGATAGGTTGGTGGGTGTTTTGAAGAGGGATATTTAAGGCTGTTTCTTCTGTTGGTTTGAAGAACGTGCCTGTACAAATTGTGAACTGGAAACTGTTCTGAAATAGCTAAGAATTTTATTTGTTAATATATCAGCATACAGACAAAGAACCTGTACCCAAGAAATATTCCAGGCAGGCATGAGACAACTTTCAGCTTGGACCAAGGGAAATTGGGATCTAATACTTACAGACTGGTGAATATCCAGGACAGGGATCTGAACTAGTATTTCCATCTGCTTATCTTTTGACCAAGAATCAAGGTCCTAGCTAACCTGGAATATTCTTGGAACATTAGGTAGCTGGATAGCAGGCATAGTTTGATAGCAGCATACAGTAAAACATAAACCAGGGAGAAGAGAAGCATGTTTTATTCTGATTGCTCAAAATTTTACTGTTTTGATGGTGCTTCTTTGTTTAAATAATACTTATCTAACACAAATTCCTGAGGAACCAAAGCCTGAAGAATCTGGGATCAAAAGATCTTTTGGCCATGTCTACATACGCAAAAAAATTGTCAATATCATGTAGGACAGCCATTTAAGCCAATGTTATTTAAGTATTACCCTCTGATGAACATATGCCAGAATACAAACAGCTGTCTGTGCTGTTGGTAAATAAGACCTTGTATTAAGGGCTAAGAATCCTGTGGTTCCAGTACTCTGACATTTCACTTAAATTTAGTAGTAGTAGTAGTAGAGGGGGTAAATTGTACAACAAAATTGTACGATCTTTACAATGCAGTTTCTTGCTATATACGTAAAATATCTGCCTTACTGGAGTCATGATCTCAGCTTGGACAATTAAATAAGGAGTAGGTTTCATATCAGCCAACAAGTCACAATAAGGCTTGATGTTTTTAAGGTGGGGAATGAGCAGGAAAATAGGATTTATCAGACCTTATTTTTGCATTCTAAAAGATCAAGACAGCACAAACCCATTTTCTTTTCTTTTTAGAATTAATTCCAAATGCCAATTTTATCTACTAACATGATCTTAATTGCCAAATTTCTGAAAAAGGTTTGCCTTTTTGTTTGTAAATATCAGCCATACAGAATAACATATTTTAAGTATTTTAAAGAATACATGCCTTCCTATGATGAAATGTGATCTGTTCAACCCCTGAGACAGTACACAGCTTCAAAACTACTCTGACAGTTACGAAGTTTCTCAGTTGAAATTCTGACACGGAGAGTTCTGTCTGGTTCTGTCCAAGAAGGGAAAGCTGCAGCAAGAAAGTTTGTATCATTCATTCCTGAGGTGGAAAGTGCAAGTAAATTATAATTGGATAGTTCTGGATTACAGTATAATTGACACTGATTCACCAACAACCAAACAGGTACAACACAGTGCTGATATTTATGCAGTAAACCAGTATTTGCTTATTTAATTTTATTTCAGAAATGAGTAAAGGATGTAGAAA